CGGAACAAATTGGTATTTTCTTAGGAAATCAATCCCAAGTATAATTTCAAAGTCTCCAAGCGGCATCACCATCAAATTATGTTTTCCCACCAAATTTCCAGTCGACATAGACACACTATAAGCCATGCCCACAATGGCTTGTGCCTTAGCATTGACTGTCTTGACGTAGGAAGGGCTTTTAGACAACTTCAGCCTCAATTTTGTAGCAATCTTCACATCTACAAACGTGTGTGTGGCCATTGTATCAACCATTGCCATCACACATTGTCCCTTCACTTTCATTTCTATATGAATTAAGGAAGCATGAGGATTCGAAGTGCTAGAGATCTCTCCAACATTATTGATCCCCATAATGTGATTGAAGGACAATCCCAATGGGTTTGCCATTGCAGCCACGATTTCTTCATTCTCCTCCCTTTGATTCACATTACCAGCAAGCAAAGCATTCACTTTTTCCCGGTTTGGACAAGATTTGGCCAAATGAGGACCACCACAAGTCCAACAGCCTTTAGAGTTTCCATCTTTACTCTTGGGTCTGTCTTTCCCATCCTTCATTTGTGCCTTTCCTTTATCGTTTGCATTCTCTTTACGACTATCCTTTCTCCATTCCCCTTTCTTTTCATTCTTTTTCTTATTTTTCGAAGTAGAAGGGACATCTGTCAAAGGACGAGTCGTTCGGAAATCTACCAACGAATCAGCAGCAGCAATTGCCCCAGGCAGATCTTTAACATTCTGCCTTCGTAGTTCGTTTTGAGCCCAGCCTTGCATGCCCGAAATGAAATTGTGAAGTTTATCCTCATCAGACATATTTTGTATGTCTAACATCACAGGGGTAAATTCTTTTATATATTCCCTCACTGAACCCGTCTGCCTTAACCTTTTCAATTTATCTCTTGCAAGCCAAGATGCATTGCTAGGAAGAAATTGATCGCGCATTTCTTTTATAAGCTTATCCCATGTATCAATTCTAGGACGACCAGCACTTACGTCGTCTGCATTACGAGTCCTCCACCAAAGTTTCACATCACCCGACAAGTACATTGTGGTAATGTTTAACTTATCAGCGTCCGGCACTCTTGCAGCGATAAAGTACTGTTCCATGTCCCATATGAAATTTTCAAGTTCTTTAGCACTCCTTGCGCCACTAAAGGCCTTAGGTTCTGGAATCTTTACCTTAGACGATTCAACACGAGTTGAACCCAATGCAGCCACAGCCCGACACAAAACGACGAGTTCTGCACGAAGGTTCTCATTTTCCTTCTGCAGTCCCTCCAGTTTCTGTGTAGTTGTAGCACGAAAGTCCAAGATTTCAATGATGTGGTTATCAACATTTTGTCGATATCCACCAATTTCTCCCTGAACTTTCTCAGCGTCCACTCTCAACTCAATGATTTGTGTGAATAAATCCACAAACGTAGGGTCTGCCAGGACATCTTCAGTAAACCCAACGAAGGATTCAATTTTTCGTGCCAACTCCCATAGTTCTGCGTTTTTCACCATTGTTTAACCGTGCTCTGATACCAATTGAAAGAGGTTCGATTTATTTTTCTCGCACACCACTCTAGGCAGTCTTACAGCGTCTGTAATACTTCAGCCTACTTACACCCACAGAATTGAACAAGTATAGAATTACTTAAACAGCAATGTCAAACAATAAACAGGCAGCGTTTACAGGACCAAGTCCCAACCTTTATTAATCGATAATTAATACAAAGGAAGGCTTCACAAATCAGTCTAAGGCTAGATGACTCTCTGTCCTTTTGCCTTAGACGAATTTCCACCTTAAATCAAAATTCTGCACAATGGCAGTTACAAGCGGTTACATGCGGCGGTTACACATGACACCTGTCCAACACATGTCAGCCCAGGGTTCAAAACTAACTTTCCAACAGCTATAATTTCCAACAGATAGAATCTAATTCAAATTACATTCTTATCTACATGAAATACTAATATTCTAACACGTAGAATATTTCAGGCTTCATTCCAACACTTAGAATAATCCTGCCAGCTTCCAACACTTAGAATATTTTAGCTGTCTTCCACACTTAGTTTTATTTCAGCAATTTCGGGTGAACTGCCTTTGTCTTTGACCTTGCCCAAGTCTTCACAGCCTTGCTTCATCAAGTCAACATGCTGTCTTGCCTACGCCCTTAGCCCGCACGTAAGCCATGCACGTTCAAGCTGCCTTGCCAACACCCAAGCACCTTGAACTTGTGTTGCACTGTTTTGCCACCATCCATGCCAAGACCAATGCCCAAGTCCTTGGCATGTCTGCACGTAGTTAGATCAAGTAGATTGCGGGTCTGACAGAAGGCTATCTTCTCTTTGGAGAACCCTTGCTATGCTCGGCTAAGGAAACTACAAACTTACTCACAATTCACAAGAGAACTCATAAAGTATATGTATTTTATGTCTTCGTTTCCCACAATTTCATTCATCTGGTCCTACCCACTAGAATTCAGAAATTGGAACATAAAATAAATAAAGTTACCTCATCAACATGAGTGCGCAGAATCTTGATGTTCATTTCCAATAACAGAGGTCAAATGATGTTGATCCTCAAAAAGAAAGTCCAAACTTGATGTATTTTTATAATAGTAATTAACAATAAAAGGGCATCGTTTCATTTGATTCTTATAGTTTGGACCCCGTTCACATGACCGACCGATAGTTGCAAGGGAGATGCTTGTTAATGATTGATTGTGCTGGGTTATAGTCAACCAAATTCTTTTCCTGCATAATAGATGCACCAAATTCTTGTGAGCACCTAGCAATCAATCATTTAAGATTCATTGCTGAAACTGTAACAACGATACAACAACAACAAACCTAGTATAATCACACAAGTAGAGTCTAGAGAGTGTGGTGTTGTTCAAGTGTAACAATTACACAAGGAGGAACAATTCTGATAATTATATTGATTTCAAGGTGAAGACAACAAATTCAAAAATAGTATTGTGTACAACCCAACACTTGAATTGGCATGCCTCACACTTCTAGAGATATCATAATTATAATACAACTGTAAAAAGAGGCTCCACCGGTCATGCAAAGCAAGGATAATTTCTTGCTTCAAACTGTTTTTGCAAGCCCTAGAACTACGGCAAAGGACATTACCCCCCGATATGTTCAATAAAGGGTCGGGGAATTATGTAAAGGACTGCAAGTTGAAAATGATTTATGTTCCACCTCAAGTTCTAATGCCTATAAAGGAGGGGTCTGAGGAAAGTTCTTATCATAGGGCTTTAGTATCCGAAAATAAAACTGTAAATATATCTGAGCTTAATGACAAAGGCACTTATTTGAAAGCTGACAGAGGAGAAAATTTCTATTATTCAGCAAAATAACAAGCTTCAACAAGATTGAAGCCTTATAGATGAGAAAATAAGAGAAGTCGCAGAGGTATCCCATCAATATGTGTTCTCATAATTTCATTGTTGGACATCCTTATGGGCTATCTTCTCAAAGAGACATAATCTGAATAATTCTTTCAATATTTCAGTGCTTCAGTTGTTTGAAAAATTTTAGAACCATAATTCAATTAGTTGTCTATTTGACTTAAATGTGTGCAAGTTAGTTTCATTAGTTTTGTAATGATCTTGTTCTTCAAGAAATCATCACATAAAAAACTAGTTTCACATTGTGTATCAATCAAGTGTATTCCTAAGTTATAAATAAAGCCAAGTTTTTGATATTATTGACAAGTAATTGTAGTAGATTGTTTTTATATACAGGACGAATTTCTTGGATTCGAAAATAAAGACAAGAATTTTAAAAAACAGAAACACACAGTAGCACTCACTTGTCCCTTGGAAATGCCTTGTTAATTTCATGTCTTTCTCTTGATATTAGCCAGTTATCTTAGCAGCAGCTACCGTCAAGTGTAGCTACATACCACTACAGCTGAACTTATAACATTGACATTTTTTGCTGTTCAGACTAAATAGTTGAGGCTAAACAAGCTGAAAAGAAATTAAATCATCAAATTAAAAAAAGTTTGAGGATCAGATTTCATCAAGGTATATGACATTTTCAGAATATAGAAATGGTCTGAATTTAACAAATTTTAATGTATAAAAGAGTTTCAAAGTACACAAATTTTGAGGGAGAAGTAATTGGTGCTTTTAGAAAGAAGTTATTTCTTGAAAGAAAGCTTCAGAACTTTGATATATCCATAAGAAAGCAAAAAAGGATCACCTAGAAACATGTACATACATGAATATACTGAAGGTCCTATATGAACGTTATATCGATCAACTACTTAACTCGTCATATCCACAAGCGAAATGCAATGTTGTCATTCCTTCTGAATCTTCTACATCTTTGTCAAGACCAGCAGCTAGTGCAACCTTTATGCCCTAAACTCCAGTTAAAGCAATTATGTATTTGGATGGAAAAAATTGTTATTCTCGAATTTGATCATGGGTATAATTCAATTTTAAGGTAATGGAAAGTATAGGCATAGGTATATTGATACAAATTTGCTTTCTGATATAAGAAAAAATGAACAGGATTGTTCATAATAAAAGCAAAGAGAAAAATAAGAAAATGTAATTCGCTAAACTATACTTATAATGTTCAGATCAAAGGTTCATAAGTGTAACTAAGGAACATATCTTGCAAGCATGCAGTTGACACAAGAGTCATTTCAGAATAGAAAGGGAAGGAATTTCGAACAAGTTCAAGGTTTCAGAACAAAGTGGCAAAATAGAACTACCACATCCCTACGTTTAAGCCCTTAATAGCAAAAGGATGTTGACTTTAAAAAGCACCTCTGCATCATCAACACTAGCACACTAATGAACAACATATTCATCTTCACTTGCCTCTTATATTTCATCTGGCCCAAGTATATCAGAAGAGGTAGCGCCCTCTTCTAATGTTTGTTGTTTTTCCCATTCAACAGTTCTTTTGTAGAGAACTGCAACTTTTTTGTGCAAGCTCCCAGAATATTCTTGATAATGTTCGAACCCACCTTACCAAATTCTTAGAGCTCAAATAAATGATTTATCAATTTCTATAGGTAGTAATGCTATAACATGTGGATAACATATAATCACACTGTAAGTGCCAGAGCACCAATTTTTCAGTAACAACATAATTCAAAAAAAAAAATAGTAGAGTAAATTGTGAATCTTTAATTTCTCTTAAGCACTAAGAATGTATAGCCACATCAATATAAATAGGGCAACTTTCACATATATCAAACAAAAAATTTATATTTGTATTCTATATCAAAGTTTGCATAATTGCGCTTCATAGCAAACATAAAACTGTATAATTCGCTATACATATACAATTGTATAATTCGCTGGCCTAAATTGTATAATTCGCTGGCCTATTTCGCTGCAATTGTATAATTTGCTATCTTAATTCACTGTAATTGTATAATGCACAATTGTATAATTCGTTGCCTATTTCGCTGCAATATTTGTATAAAATTTATTTTGCATACAATTGAATCGAAGTAAAATGTATGTATATATTGCATAATTATAAGTGTATAGGAAGAAGATATATGTTTTTCTCTCGCTTTATACAAAAATAGAAACATAATATATACACTTCTGTTGTATAAAGCGAGAGAAAATTGTATTTCACTGCAATTGTATAATTCGCAATTGTATAATTCGTTGGCCTATTTCGCTGCAATATTTGTATAAAATTTGCATTTATCTGAAAATGTTTGTAAATTGTATAATTAAGTGTATAGCACGAAGATATATGTTTTTGCATGTGTATATACAATTTTCTCTCGCTTTATACAAAACTGAAACATAATTTTTACACTTTTGTGTATAAAACGAGAGAGACAAGCAGAGGGAGAGTGGAGAGCGAGATCTTTGGGAGAGAGGCGACTGGCAAACTTTGTCTAATGTTTGCTATGGAGCACAATTAAATCAAACTGTAGCTACTCCATTTATTTTAGGTTATTAGTTTGCTATTATATACAATTATCCCATATAAATATAATAATCTCAAAACTAACCCTCATTCATAAAATAATTCTCACTTGAAGAATAAAGATCTTAATAGCAAAGATAACCCTAACTCATGAATCAATACCACTCGAAACGAGGAAACTTCATCTAAAATAATTTGAATATGGAATTCCAATTTAATTTTCTTGAAAGATCAACGCGAAACAAAACTAAGAGGCAAAACATAAAATAAAAAGAAAAATTAAATTGGATATAATCAAAACATCTAACCAAACAGAGAGATTCGAAGATATCAATGGTGTCTGTATATGGATCCACACTCGACCTTGAAACTGCTACTAAAATCAAAAGTAGAAGGGACGGTGGTTTGTGGAGAACTTAAAAGAGAGTTGTAGAAATCGCTCATCTAAGATGGCGTTTATTAGGGTTTTGAGACATCAAGTAGGTCTTTAAGCTTCAAGTTCACCTTTAGTTTTTTCTTTATTTATTTCACTCTTTTTAAGAGTAAAATTTTAATATTAATGCTATGTCCCGTTTAGTTTGGGGTATAGGGACCAGTTTAACATCACTTTAGGGACCATATTTAGTCCATTCAATATAAAATCGAGAATTAGGGACCAAAAACATATCTCGTCCGTATAGATATACATTTAGGGACTAGATATTTATCCATCCCTAACCGCTGGACTTGAATAAGGCTTTTTCTTATAGTGATTTCTAAGGGATTTTGGGTTTTGATTTGAAGAATGAATTCTTCTAAGTGTTAAAGGTTATAAACATGTTTAACATACCCAAAATACCCTTTAGGAAACTCCCAAAGTATTATTTGTAAGTGGGGTGAATTTACCAATTCACCCCTTGAACTTAACAGTTACTGCGCAAGTTGAGAGCACCATCGACAGATGGCCACCAACGGAGCGTCTCCCAACCAACGTACCGTTCTGTTGGTCCGTGGTTTAAGACTGAGGCTGGTCCTTGGATTGTACTTCTCCCATGCCTAAGTACTGATCCACGACACCCATCGATGGGATGTCGCCTCGCCCACGAACCGTCGTTTGCCTCAGTCATTTGGGGCTATCTTGACAGTCTTGGTTTCAAGGAAAGAGTCCTTCCTCAAGGACCCTTTGTTGGTCTGTAGGGATGTTTTCTCGGACTTCTCCAAAAAAAATATCTTTGTATACGAGTTTAGGACCTCCCACATGAATTTCATCCAGAACGAACATGTAAAACTCGACGAAACATGCATAGACACACAAGGTCGTTTCAAGGCAAACCTTTCAAACGTCATGGACATTCTTTGATGTTTGACCTCCAAACTTCACAAAACTTCACACACTACGTATAAACACTATAATAACTCATATAATTACCTCATTTAAATCATGAAACACACACATAAGCACATAACCATACATGAGGCACATAGGTGACTTTGTCGTCGAACGCCATAGTCGTTCCTTGACGTTTAACTTCCCATGCAACCAAATCATTAGAAACTGCCTCAATACCACATTATAGAACATTTTAGGACCTTATACCCTCATTAAAAACATGTTAGTCTCTAACTTTATCCAAGTCATTTTCGAGGAATTACATCAGTTTACCTAAATCCTCTTGTTATATTGGAATTGTTCTTGTATGGTTTAGTCCACTAATGGTGGCAGTGTTTACTTATTATTTATACAATGTGCAATGTAATTGAAGGCATTATATAATGAATTGGTTATTAGAATGTGAAGGTACATGTAAGGGATTATGTGAAGGTGTTCAGGTGATCTCAACGAAAATTTGTATAAAATGTTATAGTATTTTGATTTGAAGCATGATTCTCTCACAATGCTCTTATGTGTTAATGTTAGAATGTGAAGGGTCTCTATATTGTGTTGTTGTATCATTTTTGTACAATCAGATGTCTATGTTTTATGCATGAAACATATTAAAGGTGATATCTTCACTTGGAAGGCTTAGGCATCCTTCTCTTGAGTTGAATGTCTAGAATGGGTAGACCTAAGAATGGTTCCCTTTCTATGAATGATTAATGAGGCTTCTAGGCTATGTATTCAATAAGTATACCTAAGAATGGTGCCCCTTATTTATTAGACAAGATCCCTATGTGATTGAAAAACCGTGAAGTGGTAGGCCTTATGATGGTGCCTCCTTCTTTTGTGAAATGATAGACTTAGATATAGTGGACCGCAATGGCAGGAAACCTTATCAAAGAAATTCAATGAGTTATCCTTAATGAACCTTGATCGTTAGCCTAAGCATGGTTCCCTTCTTGGTATAAATACTATGGGTCGGTAGACCTAATATTGGTGCCCTCTCTAGTACACTCATGTGAATGAAATACTCCTTGGGAACTAAGTCTAGCACCGAGTGGATATGGTTAAGATGGTGTCTCTTCCTGTATAAAAAGTAAGATCCCAATGAACGTCCTTGTATATCGCCTATACCATGTGCTTACATGGGTTTCTTATTAGTTCTACCCATCGACGGTAGAACACCTTCCACGGTGTCGGTCTTATGACACCGGATTCCATGGCTAGCTAGTGTAGTGTATGTCTGTAAATGCCTATTTTCATAATGTGGGATGTGCACTCTAGTAATTAGATTGATTCTACAACGTGTAGGTAGTAGTATCGGATGCTATCTACGCATCGCACGAGTAGGCTTAGAAAACACTAAAGTGATCTTACTAGGTCTGTAAAGACCATTATGTAAAGTCCCCTAAATGCATGAATGTCTCCCTAAATGTCTCTACTAATAAATTTTGATTTATTGGGTTGTGTTAAAAAGGAAAGGTCTCTATATTTTGTAGTCTTGAGGAACACTTACGTGTGTATAAAGAGGTTGCAAGGGAAGCAACTTCATGTCTTACTTAGGTGGATTTTAAAATAACCTTATATGGAGAGCTAAAAATGATGAAATGGGTTACTTGATGAATATGGCCATATCTAGTATTATGGTAGTATTTGATGTGTGAATATTTACTTTTAATGTGTTTCTTATACTTGGATATAAAGTTTTTACCAAAATAGCATGAAAAGCACTTACCTCAAATAAACTTCCTTTTTTCATGTTTTTACATGGTCATCGTACTTAGAGCATATTTGTACAAACACCATTTCTCCATCTTTTTACTACAAAGTGTAGGTTTTGGCAACTAAAGGATCTTTTATAGATTGAAGTGCATGAGACATATTCTGGAGTTTTGTGTGAAAAAATGAGTTTCCATGTTTTCTCTTAATGGTATGATGTTTTAAATAGATTCTTGTTAAATGAGAAAATGAGTTTTCATAAAGTTGTGTCCCTCATGTTGATGTGTGTATATGATAATTTGTTTAAATATCGCATGAGTAGAAATGTTGAATATGTTTAATATGTATTTTTGAAAATGTTGCATAATTGTGCTTCTATGAGAAATTTTCATGATGTGATTAATAATGTTAAAGTGAGCATAATGTGTTGTGGAGAATGAATTTCCTCTAATATGATATGAGGAAAGTCTGAAGTTCCATGCATAATGAGTTTGTGCATATTCTTCCTACCTTCTTGTTGTATGTTTGAGACTTTCTATGTGGAGTTCATGTTTTCTCCTATTTGTGTGCTATATAATGATGTTTCATATATAAGTGTGGGTTGTTAGTCTTGACTTGTTAACCCTTTATGTGTTTTAACTGTCTTTTGAGGACAAATGTTTCTAAAGTGGGGTATAATGTAATAACGCTAAAAATGAAATAGGATGAACTAGGACTTAGCATGTGTTTCATGAGTTGGTAAACTTGTATAAATGGTCAAAAATGACTTTAGAAGTTAGTTTGGTGGTTTTAGAAGTGAAACTTCAAGAGACGTCCATGACGTTCGGAAACTAGTCGTTTGGATGCTAGTGTGTTCTAGTATGTTGTATTTAAATTAGCTGCTTTTTGTAGTCTAAAACATTTAAAGAAGACCCTAGTACTTATATAATAATTTGTAACTTTTGGGTACGACTCCACAAGGACCACCTAAAGGGTCCTTGAGGAGGACCCTAAGTTAAACCTTAAAGCTGTCAAAACAGCTTGAGTTACGGTGGCAACCTACACCCCTTAACTCGAGTGATGGACCGTACATGGTGGGCGTAGGTCCAAACTTATCCTTTGAAGGCTT